GGGGAGTGAGAGTGACTTGCAAAGGGGCATGGTGAAAAAGGGGTGAATGACGGGGCGTTCCCACAATGCTATGCAGGCGCCTAGATTTTTTGTTTACGGCCCCACCCACGGGGGCAGACCCATTCTCTCACATGTAGGCCTATGAGCGCTTTCGCGCTAAATTTGACGGCCTAGAATTTTGGCATAGACCCTACGGTTTGGAAAACTCACCGAAAAGCCGTAGATCTACGGACGGACCCTGAAAGGGTTAATGTAGTTAGTCTTATTAGGTATGCTGTATATTGAACTGCAGCTGCCATTTTTTCTGACAACATTTGCTTGAAAAATCTTCCTGGAGTTCGGGTGCATCTTTCCCTGAATCTCCTATTCACTTTATTTTGAGTCATCAGCTAATTTACTCTTAATTTTTTATTTTCTAATCATGCCCTTTTAATGTACATTATGAACAGAAGTGACCCCAAAAATGATCCTTGTAAATTTGGCCAGTTATTTTAAAATTTGATAATACAACTTTTTTAAAGAGACTTGTGTGTTTTTCTTTGATGTCTGTTACGTGTTCCAGGGTGTCCTTGATGGTGATGCAAAAATTGATGATCCTGGCAACAACTTTTCATTGTAGTCCAGCAAATTTGGGATGGAATTTTGGAGGGGACCTAGCATCAGGCTTCCAGAGTACCAGGTTCGTAGGGTATCTCATACTCTTTGAATGGAAAAAAATTCATGTAACAGTAATTCGGCTTATATTTCCTCTAAGTCCTAAATTTAATTTTATTAAAAATTTGTTTCTCTGAACTTCCCTTGTGCAGATTTCTTGTCTTTTTAGATATTTTTTTAATGAATCCCAGCATTAATAGGGTTAGAGCAATATTTAACCCTTTCAGGGTTTCGGCTGTACTAGTACGGCTTACGAAACCAGGGTTTTGACGTACTAGTAAGCCTAAATTCTGCGCCCTCAAAATCTAGTGAGAGAAAGCGGTAGGCCTACATATGAAAGAATGGGTCTATGTGGTCAGTGTGCGCAGTATAAAAAAAGATCCTCCAGCACACAGTGCGTAATGAGAAAAAAAAAAACTTTGACCATGTTTTTGGATTAAAACAGTGACTTTGCACTGTATTTTCATATGGTATTTATTTTATATTCTAGTTTTCCTGGTCTCATTTTATAGAATGGAAGCATATTAAGAAATTGAGATGATTTTGATGGTTTTAAAAATGAAAAGTACCCTTTAAATTGAGCTCAAAGTAGCAGAAATGTTCATTTTTACCAAGTTCAAAGTTAAACAAATCAAAGCTACCGTCCAATACACAACAACTGGTGGGGTCTAATATTCTTTTACAAGTGCGCCGATATTATTTATACCATTTCTACACAAATGCAGTAATCTGCATTAGTGTAGAAATGGGAAATCTTCTATTTTTTGCAAAAACAAAAATTCAAAAATGGAAAGCAAAAGAATGTAAGAGGGGCATGTGGACATGACTAATGAACAGAGGAAATGTTATTTTAGTGCCAGGAATGTCTTTCTTGTTTGTTTTGGACCCTATTTGGAAATTGGCATCTTTTGAAATTTGTGTCAAATTTGGGAAAATTGCTAAATTCTGACCACTGTACGTATTGGATAGTTGAAATCGGTAAAAGGGTGGTTTCTTGTACTCATTCGATAGAAAAAAAGGGGGTTCTACAAAATAGTTATAATTTTTGTTGACTAGTACACTGGCTTTGGCCGAAAATAGGGCTCAAATTGGGCAAAATCGCCGATGCATAAACATCGTCGAGACCTCTAACTTCACAAGAGCATAATTCCGTATGTTTTCCATCAAATTTAAAACTTTTGGTGTCATTATGATCGGGGAAAGATTCTCTATCTTTTCATAAGAAACAAATTTTTTGGGTGGGGGGGAATTTGGACGACCCTGAGAACAAGTCTGGGAGAGGGCCTAGGGACCCTGAAAGAGTTAAGATTATATGGCTTCTGAAACTAATTGAAAAGCCAAACCAGCCATGAGATTTTTCTGAAAATAGTTTCAGTTGATTGTCCATTCCTCAAGCTATCTTTTTCTGAGTTGCTCTTCACACGAAGATCAATATAAATGTGTGATTGGACCGGCATTTAAAGAAATACTGCCATTCTCCTCTTATTGGCTAAGTTCACATGTTGAAAAGATTTTTTAAAATTATTTTTCTGTCTATTTTATTAGTTGCATTCATATTTTGTGTACAGGAAGTATATGCATTTTGTTCACGTTAGTTATATTTATATTTTTTGATGCAAATTAACGATGTATAAAATTTAAATTTTCTTTATTTTTTAACCACATCAGAATGAGTAGGTACTTGAACTGTGGTCCTTGCGTATAGCAAGCCTAGTTTTCTGTTTATTCATATTAATGAGTGATTTATAATATATAATTTAGAAAGAATGGAACAATGTAGAATGACTTGGAGAGTGTATATATCTGTAAGGAAAGGAAGGTGGGGTAGGGGTCATCTTAGAAAAGGTTGGAGAGAGGGGGTAAAGGAGGTTTTGTGGGTAAGGGGGCTTGGACTTCCAGCAAGCATGCATGAGCGTGTTAGATAGGAGTGAATGGAGACAAATGGTTTTTGGGACCTGACGATCTGTTGGAGTGTGAGCAGGGTAATATTTTGTGAAGGGATTCAGGGGAACCAGTTAGCCGGACTTGAGTCCTGGAAATGGGAAGTACAGTGCCTGCACTTTAAAGGAGGGGTTTGGAATATTGGCAGTTTGGAGGGACTTCTAAACTGTCGTATCTGACCGCCTCTGCAAAGACAGTGATTATGTATGAGTGATGTTGAAAGTGTTGAATGATGATGAAAGTATTTTTTATTTTTTTTTTTAGGTCACCCTGCCTTGGTGGGAAATGGCCGAAGTGTTAAAAAAAAAAAAATCTTTTAGACTATTTGGCTTCCTCCAATAGTCCTTGTTTATCAATGCCCCTGTAATGTTTTGATAGCCTAGATTCAACCCCCAATCATTGAATACATGATCAGATTTTCCATTTGGCCAAACATCAAATTCATCCACTGTACAGTATTATTGTATCCACACATACTCTATATTCTCATGCTTTAAAAAAATATTTTAATACAGTGGACCCCCGGTTAACGATATTTTTTCACTCCAGAAGTATCTTCAGGTGCCAGTACTGACCGAATTTGTTCCCATAAGAAATATTGTGAAGTAGATTAGTCCATTTCAGACCCCCAAACATACACGTACAAATGCACTTACATAAATACACTTACATAATTGGTCGCATTCGGAGGTAATCGTTATGCGGGGGTCCACTGTACCATAATCCCTCTAAAATATATTCTTTACCCATTTATATAACTTATTACTTCATTTATCCATTAAATTTTTATCAGCTCATGACTATTGATCCATTGATAGATATGCATTTCAAAATTCTGAAACTTATATTCCTATGTTATCTCTTTAACAGTAACAGAGAGGTTATCCTGCAAAAAATCCAGTCTTTCGTGGAAGGAGGGGCTCGGTTAGGAGGGCCCAAGGGTGAGGGAGGTGAGGATGTCCGTGAGGTTCTCTATACGACATTAACTATCTTCCTTCATGCTCTAATGGATTACACAAAACGTCTGTATCCAGATTTCAATCAGGGTGAGTTTTAAATTATAGTACAAACATTGGCATGAGTGCTAAACTTAAGTCAGGCCAGTACTTCCTAATGGAAGGGGATATCCCTTCTAAACATTAACACCATCCACAGTCTCCCCTCCTCCCATTCCATCAATCATCACCAGATCTTCAATAAAGGTAAGTGCCATGTAACTGTGCATGTCTTCTTCAGTTTGTGTGTATTAAAATTAATATTTCATGTGGTAAAAATTTTTTTTTTCAATACTTTGGGGTGTCAGGAACGGATTAATTTGATTTCCATTATTTCTTATGGGGAAAATTAACTCGACTAATGATAATTTCGATTAACGATGAGCTCTCAGGAACGGATTAATGTCGTTGGTCGAGGGTCCACTGTATATATTGAATCCTGATTGCACATGCAGACTTGGATGCGGATATCTCATTTAGAAAAAATAAGGATGCAGATGTAAGAAATTGTGCGGATGTTCCGCAGATGCGGATATGGATATCCGATACATCCTTAGTGTGGAACAATCTCCCGAGTACCGTCATAGAAACAAAAACGTTGTGTAGTTTTGAAAATAGGTTAGATAAATTCAAGAGTGGATGTGGATGGGTGTGAGTTGGACCTGGCTAGCTTGTGCTACTAGGTCTGATGCCGTGCTCCTTCCTTAAGTGAAGTAACCTGACTAGGTGGGTCATTGGGCTTAGCCGGGAGTTGGCATGGACCTGCTTCGTATGGGTCGGTAGGCCTGCTGCAGTGTTCCTTCTTTCTTATGTCTGTTTTATGTATTGATGCTTTTGGAAATTCAGAAGTAAAGTTGCAGAAGGATGTGGATATGGTGGAATTTGGAAGTGTGTGTAAAAGAAAGAAGTTGAAAGTGAATACAGAAATGAGCAAAGTATTTAAAGTGAATAGGAATCTAGACAGTAAAACACTTAAGGAAAAGTACATGGAGGTTTCATTGAATGGATGTGTGAAAGATAAGAAAAAGGAGATAGCAGAAGTAATGTGAAAAGAGAGAAGTTTGTCAGTGAAAAAAAAAAAATTGTATCAGAATATAGTGGTAATATCAGTTTTACATTATTGTAAGAGGTTGAAGCATAGCCTTTTAATGTTGCAGCAAGAAGGTTAGAGGTAGTGGAAATTTTATGTCTGAGATCAGTATGTGGCATGAGTAGTGAAGAAATTAGACAACAGTGCAGTGGTATGGAAGATATACTTCACTGTGATTCAAAGAGAGAGAGAGATAAAGAGAGAGAGAGATAAAGAGAAGAGAGATAAATAGAGAGACTGGAACTGATTATATTGAAAAAAAAAAAAAAAAAAAAAAAAAAAAATATATATATATATATATATATATATATATATATATATATATATATATAATATATATATATATATATATATATATAATAAAGAATATATATTTGCCATGCGCTGGCATGGCAAGACGTGTGGCGGGCTAGCTGCGGGATTTTCAATTATAACTCCGGATCAACGAGGCTGACCAGGTTAAGACTCAACAGGACTTATTGTGAATACTCTGGGAAGATTCCAGTGAAGCGAGAAGACATTTCAGTGCACCGTTTCAAGGTAAATTGTGGAAGTGTTCTGCAGTTTGTGAATGTTGGTGAGTGGTGGTAGTGAGGAAGATGGCCAGTGGAGGGGTGGGGGAGTATAAGGCCTACATTGTGTATGAGTACCGGCCTAGATTATCGTACATACAAACCTCGAAAAGCTCTTATAAAAATATCTATATCCAGCACCATGCACCATGCTTCCAGTTAACTTGGAAATGATTGTGTCGATGCATGGACTCTTTAGAGGCATATGTTATGGAAAAACAATGTGAAATTAATGTTAACGAGGGAGTGACCAGTCAGTGCATCCACCCCCCGCGTCACGGGTGGGTGGAAGAGGTGGGATGTGTAACTAGATGG